CAGGCATGAAGTGGTATGAAGTAATATATCCCAATTGGAACCTAGACTTTTGCAAGAAGTTGGACGATGACTTAGAACTCTTGAATGGTAAAACCCATTGAAACCAATTTTGTACACTTCCGTATTAGACACCCTACTATTTATCATTTATCATATTTCTTTGAATGAGAAGTTAACCCAAACCCTTTTTTTAGCTGGTCCTTGTTCTCGCAATCCCTGTATTACCAATGCGGTGTGCCACGAGAGTGTGGACGGCTCAACGTTTGACTGCACATGCACGTCTGGCTGGACTGGCAGCAATTGTGATATTGGTGAGTATGAGGAGACAATCTTACCGTGGTGTCTTGTTTCAGATGCTAGATATCCCCATTGATGAAGTCTGGGTAACAGAGTTGCGAATACCTTCCTGGACTTCTTTTATGTCAAAAATTTATAAATTTTTAAGAGGCAGTTGCTAAGGGGATATTCTGACCATGGTGCCATGACTTGGGTGTGAGTGATCCTTACTGGTGAAGTCTGGACACCAGTATCATAACCTTTTGAGTCCTTCACCAGTAGCGTTGTAATCAAGTTCAAATACAAGTTCCCACATGTCTCACATGCATTGCAGTGCTGCAAGTTAAGACGGTGTAATATGTTGAATGGTTATGTAACAGCAGAATTTTTTACTCGTTAGAAACGTTTCAGTTGAAGGCATTATGACTCTTGTTGATAAAGTTAAATAGACTTTTTTCCCTACCATTTGTATGGGCTGCCAGTGGAAAGTTCACCCTTGGTTGATGACAAGTTTTGCTGCAAATTGGACATTTGTCCCATTAATGTTAACAAGAAAGGAGTTATTTTCATTTTAATATTACATTTTATTATAAAGTGTCTCAATAGCTAGGTAATATTTGATTTTATTACGTTGTGAATTATTCTTTGGCTTTTGTACTGATTGACAGCCAGCCAGAGTTTGGAAATCACTGGTAGGCTAAAACTAGTTGGCCGTGGCAAGACAAAAGAGCGGTCCGTGCTTGAGGTCGTTCATGTCTTGATCTGCTTTTGTTTTCTGCTCCATTGTCTTGTGCACAGCTGACTGCACCCTAGAAACCTGCTACAATGGTGGCACGTGCAACCAGCAGAGAGATGGTAGCTATGTGTGTCTGTGCATGGACGGGTTCGAAGGCAGTCACTGCCAAACAGGTATGGACTCTAACCCTCAATAAACTCTCACTCACAAGGGGTGGAGCAACCTTACCATAGGCCTACATGTGTGTCATGGTTAACACAATCAGAAATGTTGCTGGTACAATTTTCAATATTGAAAATGCACCTGCAGGGCTTCAGATTGAGTCATCAGTACCACAGTCATGTACATGTTCATGCAATTTTTCCCATGGATTGTTATATGCTAGGGGGAAAATTTCCCCTCTTTTGGAAACTGGCAAAGTTTGACAGAGAAATTATTTTCTGTGCTCACATAATTATGTGTGTGTAAAAAGCTGCCATTTATCATCAGAAATCAACTCATGCTCTTCCATACAAAGATGGCATGATTATGTGCACATTCAATTAAAATTTTAGTACTGAACTATGAGCCGGCGCCCTTTGCAAAGGATAATCTACATCGTCAACCATTTCCGTTTGGTGGTCATAGATAGATGCTACTTATTAATAACAAATTACATGTAGCTTGAGATAAAGTCTGTTGCAGTCTGTACTGTTTTACTGCAAAGTTCTCTGAAAATAGAGAATACATTTTTAATCATTTTTGTCTGCTTGCGTTCCATTTTGATGTATGTTTGTCCTCCCTTTTGGCATCCCTGTCCCCACCCCCACCCCCACCCCTCGCTCAGATGTGGACGAGTGTCAAAGCAACCCTTGTAAGAACAATGGGCTCTGTGTGGAGCAGGTGGGAACATACCGATGTCTGTGCAAGGGATCCTACACAGGCACCAACTGTGAGATCAGTAAGTTGACCTTGGGAGAAGGTCGGAATCCAGACGGTCTTGTAGCATTCCCTGAGCAGAATTGTGGGATACGTGGGTAGTTCTTCAGATAGTGGATTCCAGTCCAGTCCTAAGGGTGGGTGGTGTGTGTGTGTCCTTGGGCAGGGCACTTTGACACTGGTTCTCTGCCCAAGAGTAAAATGCAAAATGGGTACCAGTGAGGGCAGACATCTGTGTTCTTAAATTGTTAGCTATTGCGTGAAGTGACGATACCATAGAGAATGTTTGTATAGGTGTGATGAGCAGGGGTAATACTAATATAATAATAAGCGATTTGATCTTCAAAAAGCTATCTAGATACATATTAGACTTCATTTAGAGATGTTTTCTGGGGATGTTTAGGGGATCACTGCTGAAGGAATTACTGGGTTTTCTTTATCAAGTTCATTATGTTCTTTGCAGTATATAATCAAGAAGTGAGAGTGAATCTCTCAAATACATGTATTCTTTGACCATTTAGGATGAAAACAAATAAGAGGTTTAAGGGTCAAGTGAAATCTTGCCAACTTACTCTTGGATTCCCTTTTTTTTTTGGCAGGCCAATACATGTCTGGAGTTATATGTCCGGCTCAGTTCAAACTTGCCATTTGCCCAGACTGGGATTTGTTGCAGATGAAAATTGATTTTTTTCGTTTTTTTGTGACTCGTTTTAATTTTTCTTTTTTTTTTCATCAGAATTTATTGGGGTTTTTTTCCCATTTGATTCTTTCAGGCAATGATAGTAATGCCAGTTCTGGAAGTGGTCCGTTGGACGGCTCGGCTGTTAAGGTGGACGACTGGCTGATTGCTGTCATGGTCCTGGCTGCGGTCATTCTCATCATCGTCGGCGTTCTGGTCAGTTGCATGCTGTACAACCGCCGCAAGGCCGGTGCGCTGGGCAAGGCGGGCAATGCGCCCTTCAAGGAGCGCGCCAACTGGCAGATGCGGACAGGGCACGGCACTCGCCCGCCCACCGTGCTGCGTGCCTCGCCGGCGCTACCCGAGCCCGTCAGCGTCAGGCAGCCCGTATACGCTGAGTACACACTGGAGGGGGAACTCTTTGAGTTGCAGAGCAGCACCAGCGGGATATCCAACAATTACAGTTCATGATGATTTTTAATCCCATGAAATGTCACCCTCCCAGATCTCTCAAAATCCACCTGCCAGTTTTGAAGGATTTTGAAAGAACTAAAGGTTTTATGCAATGCAATTCTTTTGCTGCAACCCTGTGAAAATATACTGCTGTATTTCAGTTAATCTTATTTTTCCATTGTTGTTATATATTTGAAAAGTGCCTTTTTGGTTTTTATGCAGATGCAAATTTCCGTATTCATGAGCAAATCTGTGATGCCATTCCAGGAAAAAACCTAAATGTTACATTGATCTGTGCTCAAACAACTGCTAAATTTTGGATATTTTTGCCATCCTAGCTTTCCTTTTCTCTACTGGTTTTATTTTGTAAGTACATGGCAAGAAATCAATGAAAAGTCTTTTCTCAGAAATGTCTTCAATATACAAATGTTTTCGTTCACAATTCGGGTCAAAAGAAGTACCAGAAAAACTGAGCAGTGTCTTCCCTGAATGACATCGCAGCCGCAGGTGGTATCGGTTGTCTGAAAAAAGCATGCACAAGTTTTAATGCTTGAAAAAAAGCAGTGTTTATGAAACTCCCAACCCCCACAAGATGTCATGTCATTTTAGACATTGAAAAAGAGTATGACATTGCACAGATATTGTCTCAGAAAAATTCATCGTCCACTCTTTTCCTGCCATTGGAAGATTGAAAACTGTTGCAGTTAAGAAAGGGAGCACCTATTTTAATACATGGCCTACAGCATCCCTTGAAAATGAAAGCACCAACATGTACTTTGTTTCCAGCACAGTGATTGATTATGGAAGATATTTTAGAAATCTATAACCAAAATGCTTGGGGGCATAAATAGATTAACCCAGTACATAAAACCAACTAGACTTTTGAATGCATGCCAAGAGATTGAGCCATTCGTTAAACTTGCATTCTCACAGATTTGTCATATGTGAGGTCATGTTAGGGGCACTTTTCACGAAGTTGGCTAGCAAGAAACTTGCTTTGCACAAAAACCAATTCCTCAGCAAAATCAGGTTACCGGCTAAGCTGTCATTGAGTACATGACTTTTGTAATTGGTCCCCTGCTGCTTGTTGCTTAGCATGTAACGTTGTAACAGTTATTCTGGGAACTGTCGTTTCAAATTGGGTAGGGTGAAAGCTTTTATTAGTTATTTGCCTACCAAGTTGAAAGGTGACTGTTACATGTACATACTTGGTCCATAATTTACTTGGATTTTGCATTTTGCTGAAAATTTAAACTTGCTGTTCACTCAACACTTTATGAATGAAACTCATATTATTGAAAATTGCACTTGCTATGTGTACATATAGAGATGGGACCACAATATCTAAAGGTTTTATGCTTCACCATATTTTGTAATTTGAAATCTAATTTGTAAATAGTGGTACATCTTCCGTCCAAGGTTTGTGCTGTTGTGACTAACTTAATTTTTAAAAATGCTTGAACAGAATTTTAAGAAATGATTAAAAAATCATTAACCTTGTAATAATTGGTAATTGAATTGGCTTAACGGAATTTGTAATAGTTTAAATTTATCAAATGCAATCAAAGCATATTGGATCAGAATCAAGTCAAAAGAGTACTTAATATGTTACAGATCTGTATGCAAAACTCCATGCCCTCAATTAACGTCCTCAATCAAGGTCCTCACAAGGTAAGCAAACAAAAGGAAAAACATAAGAAAATGTTCCTTTCAACAAGTGGTAACAGTTTAATTCTTAAATAAAGCCACACATTTTTATACAATGCTGATATTGTGCTGTTTTACAAAGGTACACTTTTCATGGATATTTGAAACAAATAGCCCGTTAACTGTCAACTCCAATTAATTTAATGCTATGAGTTGTTTTTACTTTCCCCTCCATCCTACAGGTTAGGGTACCAATCTGTACATTTGCCAGAGCAAATGGATGGATTGGTTTTCTTTGTTTAAAAAAAAAATTTAAAAATTAAGCAATCGCTGAATCTGTCTGGGCTCTAATAAGTCTAATGTTCCCAAAGATACATTTGAATACAAAGTGTTATGGAATGACTTTCCACTTAAAAACTGTTGACTTTGAATACATATGATAAGGGCTAACAAGTCTCGAAATATTTGACGAGGCAATGTCATCGACGGATTGACTTCCTGACTAGAAATGCCACCAAAAAACAAACAAGCAAACAAAAACAAAACAAAAATACAGAAGGCAGTTGATTCATCAAAAAGAGGCACTTCCCCTGGAAATCTATTCCTGAGAGAAGCCAGATTTGACGGATGGCAGAACCTTTTCAAGAAACAAAGCAACAGAATTCAATTACGGCATTGGTACTGCAAACACACACCACAGCTTCAGACATGTTCAAAATTAATAATAAAGAAATTAATGTTTCTGGTTAATCACACATTACTGAAACAATTCTCAAAAACAAATGTTAGCATACCAAACAATATAAATACTTAACATTTCCACAACAATATTTTGCATAATTACAACACATTTTCTCTTAATTCGCAACAAAGAAGTTTAACATCTCACTGAAAAAAACAAGTTGGAACCAGCATCTTTGGTTAAAAAAAATCTTAGATTTTTTTTTTCGTCACAAACAATTTACAAAGGAAACTATTAACACATGCAAACACCCAATGGGCAAAATTTAAAAAAATAATTAGAATATAATTCAAACAGCACATTTGCAAGCAATAAATTCCTCCTGTGATCCTTATAGGCAACTTGCAATGAAGACGAGAAAACCCGATAACAAAAAAAAAAAAGATTGGTGCACGTATTATCGTCGAACCCAGTCACAGGACTGTTATCTCGTTGATTATTAACACCACTGCATTCAATGCTACAAGAATAGAAGTCTGACAACCACACAATGAATGGTTCAATTTTGCTGTCAGACTTCTGTCGTATTTCAGCCTAGTTTTCTCAAAAAAAACTGCACCATCCCACAACCGGGGGTGTGGGACAAGACACCATATCACGGCCATCCCACGCTTGATCTTTTTGAAACTTAGCAAGCATGTAAAGGCATTCATTTGAGTGATTATCTACGAGGTTTGAATTCAACCTGATGTTAGGTTTTATTATGGTTTTTATACAGCGCTGAGCACATCACTGGGAAAAGTTCACGGTGTGTGCTGACCTGTCTCAGAAAAACGGGTATTTGCCAGAATGGTACCACCCAATAATCGTAAAATTGGTATCAAAAAATTATCACAAGGCTTGGCAAAAAATAAAGCATTACAATGGTACAAAACAATGGGGGAAGGGGGACTCCATCTTCCCCCCTCGCTGCTCTTCAGGATAGACCAGAAAAAGGACAAGTTTTTGTTCACATAAACCTGACAAACTGACTAGCAAAGACAGCCATGGTGATGCTATACACATATCACATGTAAAAAGCATGCTTGTGAGCCTTTGGCATGAGTGTGCCTCTGCACAACCGGAGCACCATACATGTATCTACAAGTAAGTTGTAAAACTGTGCCTAACTTAACATCTGGTTGGCAAACCAACACCTGGGCACATTAACCACATAAATGTTTATGTTTTGTGCAAATGTTCTGTTGGAATATGCAAGTGTTTTTGTGTGCATTCCGATGATAAATGGCTGCATACATAAGGGGCTTGATTTCTCAGACATGCACACTGCAAACTGTGATGTGGTTCGTGAACATCTGTTCACCGGTACCCAGAGCCCTGTCTAACAGCACTGCTGATAGTTTTCGCGTGAGGTCTTGTCCAAGCGGTGCCCTGCACATACACCTTTTGTACAGCAATACCAAAATGCTGTGCAGTCCACTTCAATAGCTCAATACAAACTTTTACTTTTAAATTCTTGATCAAATTATGAAAAATAACTTTGGCCAACCATGATTATATAATAATAACTTTACAGAGCATATACAGTACCAAACAATACCAGATAGGATGGCCAAATACAAGAAAATAGCCCCAACCCAAATTTATGGTTTTATCAATAGTAGGCCATAGTATGGGTTAACTGTGTGAAAATATCTATAGATTTTACAGTAACATTATTTGATCTTTGGAAGAAAAACATGAAACCAATGTGTTACACTACAGAGTCAAAGAAAAGGATGACAACCCAAAATCTTACTGCAATCTTCTAGTGTATCTTATCATTTCAAACAGAAGATCAGGGTTACCATAGAAACAGATCTGACAATGTATTTACATTACAGGGATCTTTTTATATTTCTACAAGCATCAAAAACTAAAAAGTTGGGAACACTTTCAACACAGAAGTGGACCAATTTTTCTCTTGTGATCATATAAAAGTCTCCAATTCTTATCAAGAGAAAACTTCATTTTTCATTTTCACCAACAATAGGCAATAAATTTCTACATTTTGGACAAGGTTGAATATAGATGACTACATTTTGAATGTACTGCATTTGTTTCCCTAATCAGATTGCACATGATTCAGTTTGCAACCCTTGCCAACCAATCTCTACTGTATGTGTACACTGTACATGTGTACACTGTACATGTACTGCACATGTATGTGGGTTTATAATCCAGTTGATGTACATGTACACTGTATCTATGTCCACGTATCTATGTCCACGTACGCCGTTTGCACAGTTACATGTAGAAAGCGTGGGAACGAACATATGTGCCTCCCCACATTAAACACTTGCTGCCGGGTTCAATTAAAATGGCCGTACGGGCATTTTTCATGATTTTCACCCACACGAAGGACTGTCTGGTGACTACTCCAATCTGACAGGCTACATCTATTGGTGCCTGTGTATTTCAGCCAGGCCTGCTGCCTTGTAAAGAGAGCCCAGATTGTGCGGTGTTGCGTAATTTTCTTTTGTTCTCGAAACTACATGTAGAGCAGTTTGCGGCTGGCGTTGTTCAATGGGGCCAGATTAGCATGCAGCGGTATTGTGTTGCTCAGCACTGCAGCACTGGAGAGCTTTCGTCTGTGGTTGTAATCCTTCATATTGAATGCCACAAATAGTGGTATAGAGTTTCAAAAAAGGGATGGATTACCTCCGCTATTGACAACTGAAAAAATATTTATCAAGTCCCAGCAGCTCGGTCTTTTGTTACAAGACCTGGCTCCTTAGTCTGATTTCGGGCACCCCGGCTATGCGTACAAACATAAGGTACCCGATACCGGGTCCCCTGGCACAAAGTAGTCAAGGGGACAATTTCTTTTGTCAAGAAGTTAGGACCGAGTTGTGCTCTAAAATTTGTCCTGATAACAGTTTGGGTCCCCATAACGTCTATATTTCAACACCTGCATAGTTCCCACAACCTGGTAATGAGTACAATGTACACATAGGTATGTGTCCTCAATAAAAGCAGTTCAACACTTACATGTATTACACAAAGGTTCTTTTCAAGCATCTCAGAACAAAGTTGAGACTTGCCCTCAATGAGAGAGCATGTGGAAGTTCTAGTCTGATCCATGACAGGTTCTCAAGCTTCACCATCTCTTTTTCTCCCCGGAAGCCACGACTTTGTGTGCTAAAGTACAGTCATTTTTATCCACCCCCCATAAAAAGAGAAAAATCAACATCACTTGCGTCAAAATGAAGCCATAAATATTACTGTACAAGCAGAGTACACTTCAACACACACACACTCGTAAAGCCAGTATACAGCCGGAATTATTAGTACAAATAATTTAGTTTTGGTTTTACTTTACAAGTACAATTGTAGTTTATTTACATAAATCATGTGACATGAGCACCATTCATATCTGAAAGCACCCTCTGGCTAATTCACTTTGGAACTAGGTGGTGGAAAATACAACCCCTTTTCAGCCACAACGAAGTCTCTTGATACATGCTGCATGTAATGAGGGCAAGTTTTGGGGCAAACATATTTTACATGTACATGTACATTTGCATTGCCCGTACAGCAGCTTGACCACTTGGCTGCTTTTTAACAATGCCAAAATGCAGAACTTCACGTATTTGGGAAATCTTGTCACTCGCATTTTTTTCACTTGGCTCCAACTTTTCTGACTTACATGTACGTGGTTATGCAATGACATACATGTACTCCATTAAATTTTTCATATGGATGGTTTCTACCGTGCTGATAAATGAAACTGGTTATTGATAACTAGCTTCGTGACCAAGCCCCGGTCCAAACCATTGTTTGGGCAGTGTCTGTCAAGTTGTGGTCAAGTATAATCATAAAGTTCAGGTACAGTTAATATGAAAACCCTTCTCAAAATCTGCATTCCAACAATCGCATGCAGGTTCATTTGTTCCGGTGGTCTGGTTCCCAGCCTTGATTACATGTATGTCATCACGTATTGAAACCCCCCCTCCTGAAAATGCGTGAGATTTTTCTGATGTGTTCTCAAAACATTCAGGGGTCGTTTTGGATTTTCCCACTACCTGGGTGTTTCCAAAAGTGAACAAACTGCAACAAAAAATAGGCTTCTTGCGTCTGTTATCTTTCATGAAATGCCATTTGAAGTTGCATCAAAACATAATTATGCAAGTACAATTTTGCTTATGGACATGACATATGACTTTTTCCACTGAAGATCATGAAAAGCAACCTGAACTACAAGAGGGTGATCATCACAATCAACAGGGAACCAGACTGATTCATTTGTGGCTGCCATTTCTGTGCAAATACCAACAGAGGGCGCTTTCAACATGAACACAGTGATATCATGTTTGGAGAATGCGGCCGTGTCCAAATCGCTCTGGCTAAACACTTAAAGTAACACACACCTACATAAAAGCCACTAATTAATGGCTGCTTGCAAGTTGTGCAGACTAATAACATCATTTCCAGTCGCAGCCAGGAAATTTCAGACGTGACCTGCACAAGCCAGACAGTCCTTGAAAGAGACCAGATTCCCTAAAATAACAGCTGCAGTCAAACTACTTTTCAACATACATGTACACCAGACCAAGAGTACTGTTTTAGTGAACAAAGAAAACACAAACATATTCTTAATAAGTTAGTAAAGAACAAACTCACCTTGCTGTCACACAAAATGCAAGGCACAAAACAAACTGTACTTTGGCAAAACAAGATCTTTGGAACATTTTCCTTGGAACAGTGAGGCTTTCCAAGCATTTACAATGTACATTTGTTTCCATGAGCTTACGTGTATGGCTACTCTGGTGACATAAGTGCATTGCTACCAGTAGAGCTTCGTAATGTGCATAGACCTCAAATAGCTGGAGCTGCTAGAGCATGGAAGTTCTGAAATTTCTTTATCCGGACCTACATGTATTTTATTGGCCAAAAAACCCCAAACAGAAGACAGAATAGTTCCTAAGTTGGGAGTAAATACAAAAAGTTGAGTGGAAACAATGGATGCTTTCACAGGCCAATGAAGCCCTGCCAACACGTCTATACAGAACATGTACATTACACAAGCAGGAATGAATTCTTGGCCACAAACACCAAGTAAAAGCCATTGCCATGGAAATGGTAAAGGAGAAGATACCCTCCACTATCCACAGAAAACATACATACGATGTTCAAGTGAAAACGCACCACGTTCTTATTACTTAACTGACGTACATGTACATGTTAGACCAGATGGACCCTACGCAGCCCATGTGCATCAACATATACATGTACAATGTCCATATACCTCCACTGGACATGTGGTGTTCAAGTACATGTAACTACATACAGTACTCACACATGGCACCAGACTATTTCTCATGCATATTCAAGATTTTGATAAAGTGCACACGATTGTTAACAGTTTTACTGAACTTTCCTACAAATTTAGAACTCATGTTCTGCAGATGAAAGTGCAGAGAATTTCAGTCTAATTCTTAGCTGAAACTACTTTAACCTGCAAAATTGTCTATGTATTGGAATTACGAACACAACTGCTATTTAGTACTATTTACTTTTGCATATATAAGCAACATGATCTAATGCACATCACAACACTAATTACAAGTACGTGTACTTAGTCTGAAGCTCTGAAAAATGAGAGCAGTATATCAGCCAAAGGCGAGCCAGAATACATGTACATGCCTTAGCAACAGAGTGCATCCCTAATAAGGCATCTGATTGGTCCATCATCACATGGACAATGCTGCAATTTCAAATCATGTTTCTTCTTATTTAGCGGCACATCTGTACATGAAACCTTAACCAACACATTCTTGTGAGCACTGTCCACAATTACAGTGCTACTATAATGTACATGAATAAGTACACGTAACAACAACAAAACCTGAAAAACCTCAAAAACTCCCACAGGCCTTTCAATCTGTTGGATTTTTGAGAGTCTGTAGGATTACATGTACATATGCTGCAGTAAATGCAACAGGAAATTCTCTAAAGACCATCGTTACGACATACATGCATGATGCAGCTTTTGAACTAGGATTCCTCCGAACAAATTTTACCACAAAAATCTTCCGGCACGCAAGGCCAAGCTGTGAAAAAGACTCAGTTTCACTTGTGGCTTGAACTCTGCATGGCTTATAGCAGGCAACAGGAGTCACAAATAAAAAAATGAGAGCATTGTGCTGGAAAAATTTCTTTTTTATTAACAATTTGAGTGTTCATCGCTTCTGACTGAAGGGTACCAGGCACAACAAATATGGTTTTCCACAGTAAAAGTTACAATGAGAATTCACATGCAGTTCCAAAAGTGTTGTTTTATGCAGCGTTCACTGTCTAATAGCTCATTTCCGACATTTCATACCACACACTGATTTCCAAGAACCACTGTAACATCACAAAGATAGCGTTGATAAATTTCCTCTCATGTTATGTGAACAACTCAGTTGTCTCTGACTTGAAATGAATGGAATCTGTTATGACAGGAAACCACTGGCGTCATTCGATTTGCAACATTGTTACAAACTTCTCAGCAAGTCGCTGGCATAATCTCACCACAAAACAGTAAAAATAAAACAAATAATATTTAAAGTAATGGGGCATCATTTCTGCAGAGGCATCCATAATTACTCATCCTGTCCTCAAAATAACATCTGAAGTGATTGTGGATCACACCATGACTAAGAGTCTTACACAAAAAAGGCCCAAGTACTGATTAATTAAATGATTTGATAATTATGAAAACAGAAAGAAAACTTAGGCCAAAAAAAGACCCTTGGTCTCTGGTCAAACCAAAGTTCCAGAATTGATGCGGCAATGCATGCTTTTTTTTGGGGGGGGGGTGGGGTTGGCTTTTGAAGACTGGCAGCAGACACGGAAATGAGTGGCATATTTAATCAAAGAGCAACGGCTAGTAGTAGCATGTCGCATGTAATGCCGCCGTTGTTGTTAACCAGCTGGCTGCAACTTTGTCACCTATCCATGGTCTACTGTCTGTGTTTGACATCAACATTATGCAGTCGAAACGGATCTATCACCGGGTACGAGCTTTCCACGAATTAGTCTGGTTCCTTGAACAAATTGCCCTTCGGACTTGTGGCCAGGAATCAGTCTACTCCTGAACATTCATGCGGTGCGGAAATACAGGGCGCTGCTTCGAAAATTTTGAGAAAAAATGGGGAAAAAAACACTGACGCATACGTTAAAAAACGACGCGCGTGCTGACCAGAGACTGACTTTTTTTTTTTGGCCTTATTCTGGGTGAATGAAACATATTTTCAAAGAGGATACTTTTGTTGTCTTTACTTGCGGCCTATTTGGTAGGACTTCTTGTTGTTTAACCAGCTGTCTGTTCCTTTGGGCAAGCCGATGTACATCTTGATGGTCACACAGCCATGATAGGTCAATGCCCTTGGCATTGGTCCGAGCACCGTCCACTCGTTGGTTATTGGGTCATACTGCTCCACGCTGTTTGTGGCAATGGTCAGGGCATCCTCCACTGTGCCCACTGTCCACTGACCACCTGTGACGTCAATCTTGCGGTTGGTAACCGTGGCCGAGTACAGCTCCCTCGCATGGCCTTCAGCGTGCTGCATTTCCCCGATCATCTTGTCTTCACCCTTGTTGGGATTGTAGACTTGGACCTGGTATTCTGTCTTGCCTCCCACTAAGTAGATCTTGCTTTTCACGGTCGCCCCAAAGCGTGGCTCGAAGGGCAGACTGACATCCTTTATGACAGTCCAGGCGTTCTTGTCCAGGTGAAAGCACTGAACAAGGACCTGTCCCTCCTCGCTCAGTCCTCCAACGACATAGAGCCGCCGGCTGTGTGATGTGACAACAGGATTGAGCACCCCGTAGGTCATGGATTCGCTCTTCTTCCACTGGTTAGTCTGGCGGCAGTATCTCTCCACCTCATGGAGAGGCTCATTGGATTTGTCCACCCGACCCCCCACCACGTAGATCAGGTCCTGGAGGACCCCAACGCCATGAGCAACTCGCGGGAGGTGGATGGGTGCCACCTCCGTCCACTCGTCAAAGAGCGAGTTGTACCTCCAGACGTTCCCGCACAACTGTCCCTCTCTGTATCGCCCGCTGATGACATAGACATCGTTGCACAGTGCCACAACCTTGTACTCGGTATTGCTCCCTGGAAATGCCTCCAATGGGAACCACTTCCTGCGGATGTTGTCATAGTAACTGGTGTCTGGTATCCACTGCTGGTTTTTGTTCCGGCCGCCCACAACAAAGGTCACATCAGCGAAGGCCTTGCGGGGCTTCATTCTTGGGTCGAACATCTGCTTGCCATCCCTGATTAAAATGTGGATGGCTCTGGCTTCCAGGATGAGATCGTGGCATCCTTCACACTCCTTCACCAATGGGTCCTCAGCAACTGCATCCAAGACCTTAGGTGAGGAATAAGGAAGACGGATGCTCTTCAAAACAAATCCCAGGAGGTTCTTCCGTGCTTCCAAGTCGTGCTTGACCCACTTGATCAGGGCTTTGTAAGCCTCTTCCTCGCTAAGGAGATTCAGGTTATCATCGCCAAGATACTCAACAAGTTCTTGCCGTGACAACTCCAGGAACTCCTCATACTTTATGACCTCCCGGAAGTTCTTCAGGGCAAACTTTGTTGCTACCTTGTGAAGCAGCTCACAACTTGGCCCACTGGCAGATCGCTGGATGCTGAGACAGTTAGATGGGTCTAACATTGTCTTCAGGAACTCACTGCATTTGCGAACTGCTGAGTCATGCCGAAGGGTGCTGGCCAACACCAGTGCTTCCTTTGCATTTTCCTCACAGACCTCAAGCTTGGAGGTGTAAGTATAGTTCACAATCATTCTCATGACTGCTGCACTGACATCTGTTATCTTAACGTGACCATTCTCGTCTGCTGTCTGTAGTCTCTCTTCCATCGCCGAGTCAATCGTTGCCAGGACAACCTTATGACAGGGGAGCTCTTCCTCTCCAGCACAGAGTGTGACGTCCACAAACTTGTTGTCAAATCTCTGGTCGTTCAGACCCAGGAGAATCTCATTCACGTGGTAGGGCTGCTCGAAGGTGTATTCTGCCATGATTTTGGACGAGTCAGTTATGGAGTGCCGGCTCCTGTTGTCCTGCCTCTCCAGAAATTCCTGACACGCCTGCTCGGCGGAGTGCAGGTAGAAGCACTGGGCAGCTGTCAGCAGGTCCGAAACATTCTCACTGCTGATCATGAGCCTGGCAGTGTAGATGTAGTCCAGGAGAAGGCCTACTACATCAGGCCTGATATCGTTCAGTGTCATGTCATGCTTGATGATAATGCCCCCTTCTTCAGTGACCTCGTCGCAAATATTAAGAGCAAAGAAGCGGCTGGTGGCAGACAGGACAACCTTGTGGCAGCGGAAAGTCAGGTCACCGACATAAATCGTAAAGTCAGTGTATTTCTTGGCATGTCGGAAGCGATTCAGCTTTGTAAGAACGTCAGCAGCGTAGTTGGGATCATCCACTTCTTTCGGTTCGTTGACCGAGGAAGCCACTGTCCACGTACTTCCATCAGTTCGGATGCTCTCCCCAATACTAAAGTCACTCCCTAGCTTGCTCAAGCGGTAGAAGGCACTGCTTCGCTTAGCAAGGGAAAGGTTGGAGCCTCGAGGCTTGGTGGAACCGATGGTGCTTTGGCCGTCCTTGATGTTGCCGTTAGCAGGAGGGACGATGCTAATGTCTTCTGAGCCCGTCATCTGCATTTGCATGTCCGTGAAGGGGATGTGATTCTTCTCGGGGATGGGGTCGCTCGAGTAGATGTAGTGGCTTGCTGGCTCGGGCTCGCTGGCCGACTTGGACTTGCGGCAACGGCAACTGTGGCAGCAACCCATGGTTATGCACTAGATGACCCTCTAAACAGAACAGAAATAGAAATCAAAGAAAGAATTTATATTTCCAAGCATTGCATACGTATTAGTGGGTCACACCTGTTGCTCTATGGTCTGTGCTGCAATCTGAAAAAACCTCTAAATTGGCTAATTAGCGAGTGTGGTACATACCAGGTCAGCTAACACCAACTGACCAATCAACAGCCTTGGTTTTGTTTCTCACCATACAAGGACACTGGTTGGCTCACAAAGAAGACTGTATAAAAATCTGCACTCACAAAATGTATGCACTGCATGAAATAGTCAAATTATGTTGTTTTCCCTTTCAAACACAAATGGAATGTGTTTCAAACGTAACTTTTTATCGTTATCATACGACCTGTACCAGTTGTGCAATAACAGTTTTTGGTGTGATGACCTTGTAGGGTGTATTCCACCAAATGGTTGTATTTCTGCATGTGAGCTCATTAATATTTTGTGATCCCACTGGTTTTGTAAAATAAGACATGCCATAATCAGGAGGCATCATAGAAATATTTCTATAAATCCCGAATTTAGGACTGATAGTTTCCAGTTCGGGGTATTTCTTTCACAAAAAGCCCCAAATTGCGGGCGGCTACATTCAGAAATGAGTGATTAGTTTTACTACTGTTTTGGGGGTATCTTCCTTGAAAAGCGAATACAAAAAGATTTTCTTGCCTAACCCCCATGAAATTGAAACGAAAAGTGATCTTCTGACCATAATCTTGAATTTCCAGAGAAAAAAACGGAGGCCAACCTCTTCACAAGAGTCAACAGGCGGCGCTATTTTCGGTCCGATTTTGCACTGTTTTCTATGGGCACGTATTTGGTGTAGTGCAACCTGTACGGTCACAGGCCATTATACATGTACCGGTACATGTAACGTGGCAGAAGTTGTGCATCAAAGTGGACCAATCAGACAAAAGGAAAGGAGGACACATGCCAGCAAATGTGAATTGTTTTTGAGGGGACTGGTTGCCAGTCTAATCATAATCGCTATGACTCCTTCACATGCCACACCCACTCAAGAAAATGCAGAGGACTCCTGACACATTCATGTACATGTTCATGTGCATTGTATGCAAATACACAACCTCTTTACAGTCACATCTGAATGCAGGTATTTCCAACTGTGCCACCTCCTTGGCAAACGATTCAACCAAAGTGCACTATTCACATATTACATGTACCTGTACCTGAAACCTAACGACACATGAACAAACACAAAATGCTTGTATTTTTCCCGACACAGTACGGTAGCTTCCAAAATCAAACACTTTATACTGAAATGCTGCTGCCTACTGGGCAATCATTGTGGGCATTGTAACAATTAAAGTGCTCTGCCCAAGGCCACTATAAGCACTCTAACCAACCCAGACAGAATTGAAATCCATCTGCAGAAAACATTAAGTAACACACTTCAGAGCACTACTACCACTGTGGTTGTGGCACATGCGCATGTGTTTGCTTGGCTTTTAATCCCACTTTTTTTAAAATCCATCTTGAGATTCAACGGCCCATCTGTCAAAACAACTTGGTTTCTGCAGCACGTGTTCCATGATGCCCTTCTTTTAATTTTCAAGAACAGTTATGCACAATAAATGCACATATACATGTACATCAAAAATATCCATTTACCAGTTCAGGTTTAGGTGCCAATATTTTTCAACGAGAATAATTTATAGTTCATTGAGAATATGTTCCATGAAGTGTCAGACGGAGCATTTTCAATGGTCAAGAACTGTTGGTACTCTTGGGACAGATTTCAGAAGTCATGTGTCTACTGCATGACCACTGAATGAATTCTAAATCTGTTATTGACATGTCCATGTCTGTGAACATGGACATACAGTATCAATTATGTAGATACCACATGTGCGTACAAAACCCATTGATCACCTGATCATCCAGATATGGTTTTTGTTATCCTCCGTGTGGCTCTAGAGGTGTAAATTTCAGACAGTTGCCAGAATTTCAGCTGTTCAAATACACATTGTTTTTTGCAGTCATTTACTTTCTTCAATAATTCCAGTTTTTCTTGCTTTGGTGCTCAGGATTACAGTCACAGTTTGAAAATATTTGCCATTTAGTGACAAGGGCAAACCAAGAACTGGAACCCTGCCTCCCTGTGACTTTACGTAACAATGATTTTAAAAAGAGGCCCAGTAAACGTATAAGCACTGTACATGTACGTGCAGACCATGTACAGGTACTATGCATGTACGTACACCAGTTGACATGGCCGCCATAGGCAGATGCTTATCCCCCCCCCCAAATCAAAATGGAAACAAACCAGAAAAGAAAACTGAAACAAAAAAGGACGCACAGGGAAGAAAAGCGATTTGCTTGAAAATATTAGAAATGACCATCTTCCACTGTTAATACATGCATGTGCTTATCAGAGTCTTCTGCCCCCTCCCGAAAAAATTTACAAACACTGTCATTCTCTGATTCCAACTTTCATCACACATTTATCATACTTTCACCATGTACTGTATGTACATGTACTTCTCACATTTGAAACCATCCTTTACACAAAACCAACAAAGCATTTCATAAATGGTCATCTCTCAGGACTGTACATAAAGAGAACTATCTCCTATTCAAGGTACACGTTTAAGGAGAAGGCTCAGATATCTTGACAACCTTTGAAAATTTGATAATTCACAGGAAAAGTATGGCATACCTGTAACTCACACTTTTAATATACAAAAAAATTGATGTCAAAATTTGCTTAAGACATCATCACTCTAACGTGGACCAAGCCAACTGGGCGGAAAAATGTTCAGCTTCAAGGCATATTCAAGCAATACAAAAGGCATGGCAGGTACCGCACATGTACAGTACACACAGTCACAAGGACCCAGCACTCATGTGCAGATGCCCAGGCAAGGCCAAATTTCTTGCAGAATCGAAGGCCACTTACCCAGTAAGTTTAGCCAACACAGCACACTAAACCTACAGATTGCATGATGCTGTGACCCATCAATCCATGTACACATGGATACATGAGACCATGACTCTGGAGTTGGTTTGGATATAAGCACAAAAACATGCAGTGACAAAGCAGGTAATGTAATTCATGCCAACATGTATAATGTCCATGTACCAGTGAATCATGATGTGTACATGTACATGTACGCGTATGTTCACATGGAAGCATCCACTACCAGACTTGCCTGCATATCCTTGCACAGGTGTATTGTCTCGGCCTACACAAGAAACATTTTGTACAATTCATAGAGTGACGTCCAGAACACATGTAGCCTAGCTGTCATTAATTATCCTGACTGATCCAAAGCTGGGCCAGATACCGGTACAATGTAAATGGATAGTCCGGCAGTCTGAGACCCACTCCCTCCCCCCAACAACGTGTTTACATCCTCGGGGATGAGTCACTGATTGCTGGGATGAGGCGGTGCTGCATCATTTTTCCACATGTAGATCATGATGTCATGGCTGTGTCATTTATGGACACAATTAGACTGATGACTATTGGGTCTGCAGGAGTCCTACTGTCACATGACAGTGTTCAGAGGACATTTCAGGCACAAGTACATGACCAATATACAATATGTTACGTCAGCGCTGAGTCATATGTTTCAAATTCTTCATAGGAAACAGAGAACAAATGCTTCATCTGTTGACAGAAATGCTGTACTTTGATGTGTGTTGGAGACCTGTGGCTACTTAATACACAGACTTGTTGACGGAAATCAAAGACCACCAGTACATGTACATGTACTTGCCCACCTTACCACATTATTTTCCACTGCCCCTATGTGCCATGTACAGAATGCTCACACACAAATGTGTTATGGTACACATGTACATACATGTACATGATAATACATGTATCAAATGAGTGCACCTGGAACAAAGAATGAAGTGGTGCATCTGGTTTCCGGGACACAGATGCACTACATTTTTTTGTGTTCCACAAATGCGAGCGAGATAACAAATTTATTTTCAAACTTCACGCACAGTAAAGATATTATAGGGGCCTACGTGCACAAATATGCCACCTTTGAATTGGGAGTAGATTTTGTAGTTTCTGCTTCTGCATTCTGCTTCGTAAGTGTAAAAATAGCACATTGCGTGGAGTTCGAACAACACATTATGTGAGATTTGACATGGACCGTGCAATAGAGTTATATGTCACACTGTTTATTTCCATGGATCAACCAAGTTTGCCTGAAGATTGTGTATTATAGCCAAGCTCTCAATTGCATCCCAATTTTTAGTTAGGAAAATCTGCCTTATGTATCAGCCTGGTGTAGAGGTTCTCAGCTGCTTTCAGCATGTGACGTTCTCCTGCAGTACCAGACAGTGGTACACTTGGACTTACATGTGTATCAAAACAAGGAGACAATGTACAGGCCATGTCATCTTGCAATGTGTATTACTAGCGACTGGCTCTTCACTGATTTATGGCTATAAGTGTATAAATTTGCTAAGTGGGGGAAATGAGCAAAAGATACAATGTACATGTACTTGGTTACACGTTGTGCAGTGTAAAAGGCTTACAACTGGTCCTCAACTGATTTCTGCCAATAATGCATACGTCTACATGTATATATTTGCCATGTTTGCCAAGCAACATTTTTTGCCTGTCAGCTCCATGAAACTTGAGGCCCAGCCAATTTTTATAGCACTACAAGTCTAGTTCTGAAATCAAAAGATACGGACTGTTTTGGGAGATGTACGGTATTGTCTCTCGGCACTGGTGGTGAGGGGGGGGTGGCAGGAGAGGTCGGAAGGGTCACAGTGATGTCCACTTTCTGGGGGGAGGGGAATGCCACCCTACCTTTTGTACATGTAAGTCCAACCCTATAATTGTGGGGCTTAGTGGGTCAGCCTGTTAATGGCTGATGCCCAATGATCTCACAACTGGCCCCTTTACCGGTACTTTGGAAATCGTTCTGCCACCATTGCACAGTACATGTATCTTGGGTCCGATGGCCACCACTGTCATACATGTGACTACTGGTATAATGGGAAGA